TTTTTTTTTTTTTTTTTTTTTTTTTAAATTATACTTTATTCTTGCGTTTATTTTTCATGCTAATCAAACGAAGAAATAATGTCCTTCAAATTTTCCAAACAAAAGGCCTTAAAGGTAAGTTTCATGCTGTTTCATCCTATTTTTCATGTTAGTTGCGATGAACGTGCAATAACCTAAAATAAGAAAGAAACAAAATAATGAAAAAATCATTAACCAATGTGTCACGGTTTCAACTTACAAAATATTAATTATAATTAAAAAAATTTGATGGGATCAATTATAAATTTATGTTGGCTTTTTAATGAGTTTGATTATTTGTTTGTGGTGAGTCAAACTCAAGTACAATATAAACAGAAAAAATTGTATTAAAAAAATTAAGAGAAATTTAAAAAAAAAAAACTACAGGATTTGTGCGGTAACCTAAAACAAAATAGAAACAAAATTATCGAAAATCATTAACCAATGTGTTACGGTTTCAACTAACACCATATCAATCATAAATTTATGTTGGCTAGGTACGTTGGTGTCATTTTTTTTGAATTTGATTATTTATTTGTGGTGAGTGGAAGACTCAATTATTATATAAATAAAAAAAATTATATTAAAAAAAATAGGATGAATACACTGATCTCCTTTGATGTTTGAAAAAAAATATAACAAAATTTTATAATTTTGATATAATTACATTGAGTTCTTTTAAAATTTTATTTTATATAACCACTTAGCCCCCTTTTCAATTAGTGGTCAGTTTAATTATGTCAAAACTGTTGTGCTTATTATATTTATTTAAAATTTCAAGAAAGTCAGTGTAATTTATCTGAAAAAATTAATACAATAACTAAATTTTTTTTTTTTAAAATAATCATTATAGTGACTTATATTTTTTTGAAAAAAGGGACACAAACATATTATTCTAGTTAACATTCACTGTAAATTTTTTTTATAAGAATATCATTTTTAATATATACAATTAATTTACTTCAAAACATCCACACGCCACCCACACCCAATTGGGTCTTTTTAATTGACTAATCTCTCTCCTCAAAGACACATAATGAGATGGGCTTTTGACTTAGGATTATAAATTTAAATAGAGATTTCTTTCTAAAATCATATTTTAGTGTTTCATGTAGTCAATTAAAAATTTAAAAAATAAACTAATATTCTTATAAAATTTTTGATCAGAGAGTGAATTTTTTAAAAATATAAATCATCACAACAGACTTTTTGCTTTAAAATAATAAAATTAAAATTTATCACATCATTTTACATTAATTTTTTTGTATAATTTTATTTTTTATTTTTATTTTTATAGTACTACTTAGTAAAAATTCGAATAAGCAGTATGCCATAGTTACCATTTTCTTGAGTATAGTTATTTATTTGTGGTGAGTCATTACACAAAATTAACATAACACAACCACACACCTACACCGAGGTGGGCAATTCAAAACACACAATGAGGTGAATTAGGCTTCGTAAACACACACACACACAATAGATAATCCTCTAAAATTGGTCGGACACATACATAATATGTCTTTCAACATGGCTTCACAATTCCACAAAATACACACACACACTTAATTGGATGGCTCTTTGATCTTGTGTTAACTCGCAAACAAGCCAAAGAAAAAGCAAGAAGAAAAAAAATAAGTTTCTAGTCTATAAATACATGCCTATGTTTCTCACTAAAGAAGCACTACAACTCAACACAACATACAAAACAAAAAGTGAGGGAGAGAGAGAGAGATGGGAGATAGGGTTAAGAGCCAACCAGCTAGAGTGAAACCTCCACCAAAGACGTCGGTGAAGGAATAGATGGTGAAAACAGTAGTTGCAGTCATTAAAAAGAGCAATGATAAGAAGAAGGTAAATCCGAGTTAGAGATTGACATTATGAAAAATATAAAGTTCATCATCATTGCATGTATTGAATAGTTGTTTCAAATTATGTAACCCAAATTATAGCTCTAGCAGACAAATATATCTGTGATTGGTTGGTATATTTCGGTGTCTACATTATTATGTATCAAATATCAATGTTTGTTTCATTTAGTTGATAAATAAATGAAGTCTCGTTCTATGATTTTTTTTATGGATGGGTTTGAATTTAAATAAACATTCATTTTATTATATAAGATGTACATTTCATTTAGTGTGAATGGTGTCATTTTTTCTCCAAATAATATCCTCCTCATTTAATAACTATCACATTCAGTACGCATTAAATACCAAAAATGTATGTAAAATGGCAAACACATTCCGTTTACATCCACAAGTAGTGCATATATATATATATATATATAGTTCCTTTATAAACGTTTGTCTTACATTAATAAATTTATCTTTTGTTGAAAAAAAATATTATAATAACCTAACGAGTATGCAACTTTAACCCATACGGATTTAAGGATTTGATGGAAAAAGAAAATAAAATGAAGAGAAAAAGATCTCCCGTTACTTGTTTGTAAAGTTTAAAAAATGACCAATAGTGAAAAATGAAGAGAAATTGTAAAGAAGAGAAATGCTTTAGAACTCAAATTTTATTTCTCATAAAAAAATAGTGAAATCAAGAAATCAAAATTATTCTTTATAAATAATTTATAAAATCTAAATTATCCCTCTGAATATGAAATAAACAAAATAAAATGGCACACGTCCTTTTTTATTTTTTATTTATTGTTGAAAAATTACGGCAGCGTTTGGTAGAGTTTTAGAATAATAATTTGAGAATAAAATTATATTTTGAGTTTGTGAGTGTTGGAATTATGATTTGAAAAGAAAAAATTTGTTTGGTTATGATTTTTGAAATGATTTTTAAATTGAGTTTTGAATTTTTGATGTGACATATGAAATGAGAAAAGTTATTTGGTTATGAATTTTGAAAAGAATTTTCAAAACTTAATTCAAAAACTTATAACACATAACCAAACACACAATTCAAAACTCTGTTGAAAATTCTATTCAAAACTCATGACCACACTCTTTTTAAAATTCAATTAAAAAAAATTATCATTTTGATCTAAAAAAATAATTTTTATATTTAAAAACTATCAAAAAAAAATATATATTTTTCCAAACAACAGGTGGCGATTGGCGATTGGTGATTGCAGAAAAAAAAAAGAAAAAAAGTACTGTTCCGGTCAACCAGCCGAACGATCGGCCGGACATCGAGGATGTCTGGAGGGATGATTGGATAGATCCAAAAAGTCAAAAACTATACGAGAGGACGTCCGGGAGACGACCAAGTAGATCAAAAATTTAAAAATTGTCTAGTTTACCAAACATATGGTGTCTATGCACAAAATTTCAAGTTAGTGGGTCTTTTTTAGAAGGAAAGCAATCGACATTGTGCAAATGATCAAATTTAACAAGAGTGTCTCCTTAAGATTAGGATTAATGTTGAAGGTCAATTTCCCATTAGAGCAAGAATGTAAATAGTTAAAGGATTGTCCTTAACACTCAATGCCTAAAGTCACATACATATTTTATTCTCTTGCTTTTGTTACAGAATTGGCGGGTGGGAGAATTTCTTCCATTGCAATAAATGCCGTAAGTCTCTGTTCTTTCCTGTATTGGTTATATGTCATATAGGTGTTTTGATTACGTTTATGTTAGTATATTTTAATTGTTTGTGCTAATTATATTGTGGACATACCTTTTAGGATGCTGCTACTCGGTTCTTTTGAAGAATAGCCATCCCTGTGTTGAAGGAGCAATGCATAATGACTGCCCTGTTTGCTTTTGAGGTATTTGACATTATCCATATTTGCTTTGGTTCTTCCTATACTATAATGATTTCAGTGTTTTATGTTTTAGTACGTGTCCACAAGCACATGCTAATCAAAAGCGGTTTCTGCAGTATCTATTTGAGTCGAGAAATGATGTAACCGTCATGCCCTGTGGGCATACTATTCACGAGAGCTGCTTAAAGGATATGCATGAACATTATCGGTGAGGGTCTAAAGAATTAATTCTCGGGTAAATGGTTTTGAGAAATATATTTTTTTTTTGTATGTATTAATTTACTTGGTTATTGAATGGGTATGCAGTATCTATTTTTTTTTTTTATTAAACTTCAATTTTTTGTTCCCTTGGAAATTAAATTATAACTGACGTTTAGATTTAACACTTTAACTACTTCCAAAATGGAAGCAGCGAAATTTGGGACTGGCATGGAGAGGGTTATTGTCTCCAGAAGGAAACCAATCTGGGTGAGCCTTGCTTTGCTTTTCGCTTTAATGTTAAGTCAAGATATTTGGGTAAAGTTTTGATGTGGAATGGGTTTATTGTTGTGAGCAGACATATCTCCATGCCTTTGGGATGGAGTAAGCCAGAATGAAGAAGATCTGTCCTACATGTTTGACGAAACAACACCTGTTAAGGCCTGTGGGGATTTGGCTTACCATGTTGCTGACAATGGTAGTTTTATACTTTACTAAAATGTTTCGACATTTGCTAGCTTTTAATGCTTGTTCGATTTGAAGGACACTGTTTTTTATCTGGAAAAAAATGAATTGCAGTAAACATGGACAAGGAATTACAGCAATGCACGGAGATGTCTTCACAAGTAAAGAGACGTCGAATGCTGCAGTTTGACAATGAGATTTTGGGTTCCCCTCTTTGCAATGAGGAGATATCATCTGTCTTCTTAAAATCGAAGGTTTGTGCAAGCCTATTTCCTCGTGGAAAATGTTACATGATACATCTTTTGCTGTTACTTGGGGAAAAATTCTACATAGTGGTCTTATTTTGGTTTCACACAAAAGATAATTGTTGAGATACCTGTTCTGTTGTATATTGACAATTATATGACTACTATCTTTTGGAAGGGAAACAAATTTATCATCCACCGCATATCAAGATAAATTATTTTATGATATCAACATTTTGTCAGGGGATCATTGTTGGTCAATGATCATTATTGGTCAATGCAACTTCTGAACTAGTTTAGATTTGGGTTTCACCTAATTAATTTGTTCTTGCTCACTTCATTAAGGAAGTTTCAAACACTTGCATTTATAATCAAAGTTTCAGTTGAAATTACGTTTTAGTATTAATTTGTGTGATTGAATCAAGTTTCACAAAACCATTGGATCACTCTTTTTTGGTTCTTTGATTAGGAGAGAGAAGATTCGCTTGAAGAGGCTTTATCTGATATGTCGCATTGGGTGTCTGGTTTTGAAGGTTTGTCCTGTAAAGTTCTGTTCTGAGATGAATAGGTTCTTAACATTCATACATGTTTTTTTTTGTCTTGTTTGTTATAATGCTTAACAGAGGAAACATCTGCAACTGGTCACGAGGGCCTGGATCAGTCATCTGAGGGATGGCTAGCTGATTGCTTCAATAATGATGAGATGCATTGCAGCCCTGATGATCTGTATATATCTCTTAACTTTTCAATTCAGTCTTCTTCATCTTCTCCCTTATTTTATTAGAAAAAAAAAATTATGTTTCTTTTTTGTTTATTATGTATATAAATTATGATTCAACCACTATAATATGTGGAACACAGAAATCTGTAAATGAAGTAGTAAGGTAAATTAAGCAAAAATTTAATTTATATTTTTTCATATTCTTTTTTGCTTTTATATTTTTAAAGTCATAAGCAGTGATCATTGATTCAATGATAAAATCTTGCCTTCTAAAGGTGAAATGCCATATTTACATAAATATAATGCAAAGATGGATTCCTTGTGTATTTCAATCCAAAGTTTGTTACTTCTCCCTGTTAATTTCCAATCTAAAAATGCTCGTTGGATCTAATGCTTTGATTGACACTTCCAGGTGCGTGATCTTGTGGAAGCGTCAAATATGTATGGCACTTTAAATAACGTACTTGACGTTGATGTCAAAAATGACACAGTGAGAACACAAGGAAGCCTTTCATGTAATCTACGCAGAGTTAGGCAGGGTCTCGACCTCATCAGAGCTATATTCGAAAATTTTTTGTCTTCAGAGTATGTTCCTCTCTTTTATAGTATCTTCCTTCTCTCACATCTACTAAAATGTTTCCTGGCACTTGTTATTTGGAAAAATTTATGTCCTCCTATTCAGGCTCGTTGATATAATATGTGCTTTGATGATGCATATTATTGCTCCACTAGATGTAATAAAGAATCTTTGGTTTTGGACATTGAGTAGTGTGTTACCAGATTATCTACTCTCTTGCTGTCATTCTTTTCTTTCTTTGTGTTTTGTCACTTTATGTTTAGTCTGCTTTAGATGAAATCATAAATCCATAAAGATATTTTCTGAAACAAGTTGTACAATCTAATTAATTCAATGAGTTTAAATATTTCAGTGCTCTATTCCTGTTTTGCATCTGCCTGCTATTCCCATCTCAAGCTAAAGGCAAGGACACAGACAACATATTAATGAACAAAAACACACATGCAAAGCATGCCAAGAAACTTCATATTCAAGAAGCATTTGGTCTTACTAGACTCAAAGATCAACTCTAGTTCTTGAATTATTTTGTTGATGGTTTCCGACTCTGTCATCATTTATCTGATTTATTGCAATCTTTGCTTTTGTTTCTCCTTGGCAACAAAATCTCATTTATTTGATTTATTTTTTGTGTTTCTGTTAGGTATTGCTCTTTAAAAGAAGCAGCCTCAGAAGCTTATGCACAAGTTTGTGCACCATACCATACATGGGCAGTCAGGACAGCAGTTTATGCTGGAATGTGTGCTCTCCCAACGTGGGAACAACTGCTGCTGAAGCTAAATGAAAATGGTGAGATTGTGATCCCTTTATAGGCAGAAGTGATATGGTTTTGTGTCATAATTTGACCTGGACCATTGTTAAAGTTTTGAATTAAATTCCACAAATTAGGCCCTTTACTAGTACCGGAGCCGAAGTAAATGAGCACACCAAAACATGTTGACAGTATTAATAATCATTGATAAAGCATGCCACAGTAAATATGAATACTGTGTGTGGAAATTATTGACTAATGGGTCTATAGTTATTACTTTTAAATACTTAAGGAAGTTAAGATGGATGAAAACACTAATGAGATTGTGTTTGTTGAAGTGTTGTATAAACAACATCACTAATATCAAATTTTTCCTTTTCCCTTCCCCCTACATTTCGAAGCACCAAATGGGGCCGTTGAGAAAAATGAAAAGATGCTATCTAGAAGTTTATACCAGCATGTCGGAAAACTTGTGGTGTTTACAACATTCAAATTGATTATACTTATCAGATGAATAGTGTATTCTAAAATTATTGATGTTCTCAATTTCTCCATATGCTTGTTGACAGTTTTTATACATTTAAAATGATAATTGGGAAAAGAAATCAAAGCTGATTTTTATCTTTCCAAAGAACTATTATTTCTTTTGACAGAAATACCCTGTGCATAGTATACAAAATGATTGTTCCGAGACTTAAACTCATAATCTCAAAGATTATTAGACTAAGATTTTATCATTGAATCAATGATCACTGCTTATGACTTTAAAAATATAAAAGCAAAAAAGAATATGAAAAAATATAAATTAAATTTTTGCTTAATTCAACCACTATAATATGTGGAACACAGAATATGTTTTTGTTATTTTTCAGCTTTATTACAGGTATGTTTTTTAGTTAAATATAACAGATTCAGAATAATTTTTTTTTAAAACAAAGAGCTATAACGGCGTTTTTTCAAAACGCCACTACAGTGCCAACGGTCATATTTTAAAATAGGAAAATCTATCACGGCGTTTTAAAAACGTCGCTAAGCACTTGGGTGACGTCATTTTATTGTTATTTACCACATTTAGCGGCGTTTTTAAAAACGCCGCCTATACTAATTTTACGACGTTTTTAAAGCGTCATAAACTTATAGCGACGGCCGCGTCCTCGACGTTTGGTGATAAGCGTCACTAAAGGAATTAGCGGCGTTTTTCATACATATAGCGGCGTTTTTAAAACGCCGCTAAAAGTCATTTTTCCAGCAGTGTTAGTTGAATATGCTATGATGGTAATTACTCTATAGCTAAGTCCAGGAAACACTAGGCATCAAATATGAGTGTACTGATATGACTAGTGTCACTAGAGAACAATCATTGTACTCCCCGTGATTGCTGGGGCAATGATGCTTGGCATGAGATTGGTTTTCATAACAATCCATCCCATGAAGTAATGAACTTTGTCTTGTCTGCATATTTTTTCTCATCTTATTATTTCGTTGTGTTTCTGATGCTTCCTGTGATTGCTAATATTTGATCCATATCACAGGTGGGGAGCCACTCTGATGAACTCCTTTCTTTTTAATGTGGGACTCATTCTTCTTTGCTCCATCAGGTTGGAATCTTGGATTCTCGACACACTTTATTTACATATTGAAGTTGGAACATGTGCACAGCTAGGGATTTAATCATGATATATGCCCCATAAAAAATAAAATAAAAAACTGACAAATGACATTGAGAGTTTAACCTGCACTTGTCCTGCATGTACTTTAAATCAATAGTTATAGCCTTGTAGTATTAAAAATGTTACGTCTTGTTTCTTATGCCTTTTATTAGAATTATTTACTTTTCAAGAAAAAAATCCTGTTTCTTATAGTTTTAAGTTCTGTTGCCACCAATTTGTGGGTTTTGCATCCTTATGTACATATTTTTTTCTTTCTGGTTAGAGACATTGATTGAATTACAGGCTGAAGGAAAAAAAAAAATGAATATAACATATCAATTAAATTTTACTTATGCATTATATTAGACATTGCAGAAGTTGGTCACCTTGCTGACATCTCGTTTATAGTTTTGCTTCTCCGTCCGTCCCGGGAATATAATTCCTTGGTTTTGTGTTTGATAGTGATCGTTGTTGGTTTTGCTGTTTTTCAGTGTGATTCAGTTCTGTGCAACATCATTTGCATACTATGCTCAAGCTACTGCTGCACAGGAAATATTCGGTCACACATTGCAATCTCTTCGTGGAATCAAATATTTATACAAGTCAGTCACAACTCTTCTCATGAACTTCTGATCAATATTAGACATAAAATACTCATCCAGTTGTACTGTATTGCAGGTATAATGTGTTTCAAATAGCGTTCATTGCCTTGGCCGGACTGACGTTTGTTTTATATGCTGCCTTTGTAAGTTTATGTGCTGCCTTTTGTCTTTCTTTTAGGTAGCTTGAACCTGAAGGCTCATTTCTATTAGTTTTGTAATTTTTCAGGGATGGAAAAGAAAAAAACCAAGCGGCAGATTCCAGCTTTCCGCTTGAAGCATGTATTGCCTTGAAGAGAGTATGCATCTAACTTGATCTTACTTACGGAATCTGCAGTTGCACAAATTATTGTGAATGATTTAGGTCAGATGCATATATGGCCTAGAGATTTGTTCGATGTTGTTGTCTAGAGAAAGTAGACAGACCTCATCCGAGTTAAACTTTGATTACTACAAAATAGAAAGAGTTGTGCTACTGCTGTTTTTCTTATTTCCCTGCCTTTTGTATGTATTATGCCTTTGTTTGTTTGATTTTGTCATGTTTAAAAACATTTCTTATGGATAACGTATGGATGATGTTTAGTCTCTAGTTATTTGTTCTGGCCTTTAATTTTAAATGCAATGTATTTGGGGATAGGGAGCTTGCTTTGATGTGTATGAAGTATTATATTTCTTATGGGGATATTATTGTTGGGTAAATATATGATGATCCACATCTCTTTCATGTCGATTGTATTTGCTTTCTCTATGTTTTATCATATGTGTTTCTCCTGTTCCTTACTTCACACTCCACTATTCTCGTGATATTTTTGTTTCTGTTCTGTGTCTATGGGGTATATTAAATCTGACTTCTTCTTGGCTGCTTGTTTGATAGGTTGATTGTTTCAGTGGCATGGATTGCACATATTGTGATATATCTATTGATTAACCCTCCTCTTTCTCCTTTCCTAAATGGGGTTTTCATCAAGTTGGATGACGTCTGGGGTATTATAAAAATTTTAAGCATATTTTTTTCTTTCATTTCCTTTTTGCTTCATGAGTCATAACATTAACTTGAGATACCTATTTGCCACTTCACCAGGTCTTCTGGGAACTGCAGCCTTTGCATTCTTCTGCTTCTACCTTCTACTTGCCGTGATTGCTGGGGCAATGATGCTTGGCATGAGATTAGTTTTCATAACAATCCATCCCATGAAGTAATGAACTTTGTCTTGTCTGCATATTTTTTCTCATCTTATTATTTCGTTGTGTTTCTGATGCTTCCTGTGATTGCTAATATTTGATCCATATCACAGGTGGGGAGCCACTCTGATGAACTCCTTTCTTTTTAATGTGGGACTCATTCTTCTTTGCTCCATCAGGTTGGAATCTTGGATTCTCGACACACTTTATTTACATATTGAAGTTGGAACATGTGCACAGCTAGGGATTTAATCATGATATATGCCCCATAAAAAATAAAATAAAAAACTGACAAATGACATTGAGAGTTTAACCTGCACTTGTCCTGCATGTACTTTAAATCAATAGTTATAGCCTTGTAGTATTAAAAATGTTACGTCTTGTTTCTTATGCCTTTTATTAGAATTATTTACTTTTCAAGAAAAAAATCCTGTTTCTTATAGTTTTAAGTTCTGTTGCCACCAATTTGTGGGTTTTGCATCCTTATGTACATATTTTTTTCTTTCTGGTTAGAGACATTGATTGAATTACAGGCTGAAGGAAAAAAAAAATGAATATAACATATCAATTAAATTTTACTTATGCATTATATTAGACATTGCAGAAGTTGGTCACCTTGCTGACATCTCGTTTATAGTTTTGCTTCTCCGTCCGTCCCGGGAATATAATTCCTTGGTTTTGTGTTTGATAGTGATCGTTGTTGGTTTTGCTGTTTTTCAGTGTGATTCAGTTCTGTGCAACATCATTTGCATACTATGCTCAAGCTACTGCTGCACAGGAAAAGGAAAAGATGTGCAAAAAGTAGAGAGAAAAGAGAATTTTTGACTTTTTGGTCTGGGTTGTTGGCTTTTTGATTTTTTTAGTGACTTTTTGATTTTTTAGCTAAAAAAGTCACTTGCCAAACGAGACCTAAATTCCCTTTTGGCTTAAATTAAGCTATGTTGGTGTGTTTGGTATAACTTATAAACCACAGATTATAACTTAATTTAAACCTTTTTCGGCTTAAATCTGAAAATTGCTCTAAGGCCTCGTTTAGTTACCCTCCCTTTTAGCCAAAAAAATTAAAAAGTTACTAAAAAAGTTAAAAAATTAACAACTCATACAAAAAAGTCAAAAATTCTTTTTTCTCTCTACTTTTTGCACATCTTTTAGTAAAAAATAAAAAATTCATCCTAAACATACTAAATTTTTTTAGCTCATATTTTAGCCAAATAGCCAAAACGTTACTAAATTAACCTATTTCCAAACGAGGCCTTAAGCTGAAAATTTTTTTTACCAAACAGGCACAATATGGAACATCATTGAAACAAACTTTATTAATTAAGTTTGGTGTATTCGGCAAAGTTTATTTTTTGGCTTTTTAAGTTAAAATTCACAAAATGACAAAATAGACTAAAATAATTAACAAGACAAAATGTCACAACAAATTTATATTCATTTCACTTTTTCTCTCACAAACATCACATCCAATTATATACAATACATCAACAGTCTTTCGGATTTCACACAATTAAATATGAACCAAACCCATGAAAATTTTCCCCTCGCACTCCCTTTAGTTGCAGAGAAAATTTAGGAAATAGGAGAAGAAAAAAAATATCCTCATTACAGGCAGGAAAAAAACACATCAACACAGTCTTTCCTATTTCCCATTAATTAAATTTGAACCAAACCCATGAAAAATTTCTCCTCACTCTGTTTGGTTGCAGAGAAAATTTAGGTAATAGAAGGAAAAAAAAAAGAATGTAAAATACCCACTTTGGAGGAGAACATCCTTTCTTCTCTACATGATACAGGTGCATTAGCCTCTTGTACATATGAAAGTATTGTCAACTTCTGAATATTGGCTCCGCTTGGTAGATTTTTGGAGCTCGCCCTCCTTCCAAAAGAAAAGGAGGATTCATCAGCTTCAACAAGACCACCCTACACAAAGCTTTTGCATTTGCAATTTTGTTGAAGCTCAAGGGTTGTACAATGTGATGGAAAATCAGTTCCATGTGTATTTTCAAGCAGGAGGGACATTCCTAAATTGCTGCTACAAGCTTATTTTGATCCTCCTCAGTTTTTGTTCTTATTAAGAAGGTACGTGCCACAACACTGTCACTGTCAATGTTGTTGTTTCCCACGTCACCCTACAAAAAACACAAGTGAAATTTCCCACCATAAAGTGCATTAAAAAAAATGCTTCAGAGAAAATTTCCATAAAAAGCAACCCATGAGAATCCTTCCCACATATATGTGTACAAGCGGTGTGTGCAAACGCATTTGCAATTTTATATTTAAATTTTTGAATAGTATGATGGTTGAGGAAAACTAATAGCAATTTTGGACGGTTTGACAAAAGAAACAATTATTCTTACTGTTATTAGATGTGACGGCTACTGAGTGGGAAAGACTGACAGTTACTAGGTATAAAGACATTCTTGGAAAAGTTTAAAAAAAAAAAAGTGACAGCTTCCGACCCAACTCACGTGCACTTTATATAATAGAATAGTTATCCCATTTATTTATTGGACAAATAGAATAGTTATCCCATTATCGTGCAGCAGAAATAGGAACCTCGATTTGTTGGCCTCACTTATGAATTCAATGACAAGATTTACCATGCCTGGAGCCTTGTATGATACAGCAAAATATATTGCAGAAGAAATGACAGATAACAAAACATCCCCATTTCATATTTATTTCCCCCACAAAAGTGTATTTTGAAATATTTAATTAAGAAATATTACCGCCATATGAAATATCGCAACAATGGAATTTTTCTGCATGTTCGTCTTGATTCCTGGATATAACAATGCATTTAGCAACACTTTCCCCACCTGCCATAAGCAAAAAGGGAACAAAAGTATAATTATGGTCGAAATTGAGCTTTCATTCTTAATTTAACGTAAACCACTGGTGTGTCTCAGCTCTTCCCTATATGGACAGGTGTGTGCATGTACATGTAAGTACTTTTTTTGCGCATGTCAGACAAATAATGAACAAGTAGGAAAAATTGCAAAGAAGAAAAAAACAGAAACAAAAATCAAAGATTCATTACAAACTCAAGATTTCAAGCTGAATTCAACTTGGGAAGAGCAAAAACAGTAAGAAGAAACATACGTCATTTCAAATGAGAATTGTTGGCTTGAATTCTCTTGTGCCCTTGTTAACACCCTCTTTACATTTGATAGAAAACTGACCAGTGCCTTTATCTTTCCATGCATCATTATCTGCTGGATCACTTGACTGATATAATAACCACAAAAGTTGTCCCATTTCCAACTTCTCGGTCTTGAAGCTCAGCCAAATGGATGCTTTATTCTTCCACCTTTGCAGCAGGACGCTCAACATCTAACATCGTGAGCATTATAGCACCATCATTAGTAATTGTTACATCACCAATATCATCAACTAGCATCTGAAACACAAAATTGACAGATGAAGTGTCAAGCTTCGTATATTTCATTTCATCAATTTCACTAAAAAAATAAAAACCTGAAAAATGTTACATTATTAACAAATTAATGGTCATGTGACGCCTAAAATTTCCATATTAACGCAAGGGAATATACTCTTTACCAAAATACCAAGTTACCCCACCTGCTAGTGAGATGGATAACAAAGCAAAAATGTTAAAAGATGCATACTAGGCGATTAAATTATCCAATTACCATTATGGTGTAATCTTAATCAATTGCACAAAAGATCTACCTTTTCACTAAACTGACCCGTGGAAAAAAATGTTTTAAGACTTTCAAAAACTCATTACCAATACTGGTGAGCTTAAAATATTGAAATTGATGATCTAATAGTAAAAGTTGAACTGAAATTAAAATTTTAATGGGGAGATAGAGAGACAGAGAGAGTAACTCTAGAATCTGCAAATCCAAATTAGAAATAAAGAAATAAAGAAAGAACAATCAAGCATACAACACATAATCAGTCCTTACCCTTTATCCAAATTTAAATTGGAGTTAAAAAATTTCAAAACCCTCTCCACTTCTTTACTGAAATTAGAATGAAAATGAGTTTTACTCAAATCAAGAAAGACTCTCATATGTTCACTCAAAATTCCTATATGAAAATGAGTTCTATTCATTCTTTTACTCAAATCAAGAGTCATAGTTTTACTCAAAATTTTGAAGGCCACTTTCAAATTTATTAGTATGCTATTAAAAACGTTTTTTACTTAAATTTGAATTAAAATTTAAACAAAGGCAGGTGATGGGGAACCTAAAAATAAAACTAGAAAATGAAAAGCAATTATGAATCCAATTTTCTAGAGAATCAGTTGCCTCTTGAATTTCGCACAAAATATTAAGCCAAATGAAGATCAAATTCTAGAATTAACACCTATTTTCCCAATGATTCCTCCCTATATCATGATAATAACAACCTAGAATGATATACATGTATATATATATATATATATAGAGAGAGGTGGACTAATAATTTTCTACAGAAATATCTGTCTCCACTCAAATTTTGCACACTATTAAGCTAAATAAAACTCAAATTCCCAAAAATAACACCTAGCTTCTCAATGATTCCTTGCAAGATCATTTTAAGTAGAGATAAAGAGAGAGGTAGACTAATAATTTCCTAGAGAAATTGCAGTTTTGACTCTAATTTCACACATAATGAAGCTAAACAAAGCTGAAATTCCAGAAATAATGCCCATCTTCCCAATGATTCCTCGCTGGTGTTAACAACAACCTAGAATACTATACATGTAGAGCGAGTAAAGAGATAACTGATAATTTTCTGAAAAATTCTACTATACACACCCTTTAAAGTGGTATACCACCTAGTTATGCTATACCAAACCAAACCAATTTAGCATATTTATGGCAAAAGAAAAAAGTAACTTAAAATATATAGCAAATTTAGCATAGTCTTGCTTACCTATGTGATCCAATTGGAATGTTTGAGATAGAAAGATTTTCTATGTTGCTATAAGTTAAATTAGAATGCTCTAAAGTTCCATTGGTATAATTAACTGGCACCATGACTGTGAAAGCAAAGAATGCAATAGGAACAAAATTTTAAGTGTGCATTGGGAAAAAAGAAAACATGACCAGTCTAGGAAAGCAAAAAGAAACTAGCATTTTCAAACTCATGATGAACATAAGGTTAGACTATTTATTTATTATAAAGCTAAACAGTACCTAATGCAAGAAATATATATATAAAAATATATATAGGTGTGGAGAAGTGGTTTGGAAATACTCTTTGGATCCTGGGGGACGCTCGTGATCCTCAAATAGACACCTGAAAAGAAATGAACACTCCGGTCAAGGGTGCCGGAATTAGCACTCCGACGGACAAGTCAGTCTCTACTCTCTCTGGATTACTTGTAGTTTTAAGTTAAGCATACTAGTTCTTACATATCACTTCTTGTCTGATGTTCCTCTATTTATATCTTTTCTTTCTTTGGCCTCGGGGCTGGGCCCATTATCGATTCGCCGTATAACTATTTATTCGGATTCTTTAACTGCAAACTGTTTTCCATTCGGCCCCTTACTCAGCCGGCTATTTGGGCCAAATAGAGCTGAATACGATGCACAATTCGACTCTCCTGGTCCATCTGTTCGGCTTATTTACGTCTCCCAATATTCGGCCCCCACAATTGCCCCCCAAGCACTTCACTAATGACAGTTAGCTGGAGTGTTTGGTTTCGAACTCGAAAAGTCAGAGCCGAAAATCGGCGGCTAACCTCATTTCAATGCAGATGTTAGAGCACACACCTCCCAGTTATCATTTCAACTTCCCGTCTCTTCGTATGCTTTCATTTATTG